ACAATCATTTATACATATGACACAAATTATCTTACTGTGGCACAATTAAGGCATTCTAATATCTGATATGGGGCATGAGAAAGTTTTATTCTGCCTAAATATTAAACACTTACACACTCTCATGGATATTCAGATAAAAATATGCAAAAAGCAAACAGAAACTTTAATCTTCACCACTTTTACTTTTATTCTATATTAGTGAAAAAATAAAAGACCCAAGATGGCTGGATTCTCATGGTCACATATCACTTGATTTTACACACAAAGTTTTCAATTTTGAAATCAGGTGTGTCACATCATGGAAATAGCAAAGATGTAAAAAAAAAAAAAAAAATTTAAATTTTTTTCCACTTCAATAATGAGAAGGAATGGCAAGAAGAGGAGAAGAACCAAAGAAAAAGAAAACAGCAGTGACAGTAACAGGAAGTTAATTTATAGGAAAAAATCTGGAAGAACTTCCACAAATAGGTATTTATATGATGTGGAATTATGCAGTACTTCCATTTACTATGTTACTTATTTCTGGAATGCTTGGTTTTGGGGTTTTAAAAAATGCTTATTTTCAGAGAGAGAGGGAGCACGAGGGATGGGCAGAGAGGAGAGAGAATCTCAAGCAGGCTCCACGCTGTGGGCACAGAGCCCAAAGTAGAGCCCGATGCAGGGCTCAAACTCACAAACCATGAGATGATGGCCTTTGCCAAAATCAAGAGTTGGACGCTCAACCCACCCAGGTGCCCTGGGAATGCTTGGTTTTTAAAAATTCTTATGGTATTATTTTTATAATTATTACAAAGTACTGTAAAAATTACTATTTTTATAATCAGGAATAAAATACATTTTAGAATATCCAATTTTATCCAAAATCTTTTTCACCTACTCAAGTTGAAAAAAAAAGTTCCAAGTTCTTACCTTCTTACAAATGTCCAATAAAGATTTATAAAACTTTTTATCAATAGTCCGAAAAATTTGAAAATGCAGTACAAAGAGTCCACAAATTCCAACGTACTTGTCTCTCTGGTCAATTTCAGAAGGTTCTCCTTATAAAACAACAGCATGTGAGAAAAATATACTTAATTCTACATTCAAGGAAATGCAAACTTTATCAACAAAAATTTAAAAAATGCATTTTACGTTACCAAGTTTGGCTTCTACATTTGCAAAAATTGAGCGAATACTATGTGCAAATTCTTCAGCAAACGTGCTATTTTTTGACACAGATACTCCTCCATTGAGAGAATCAAACTGCTGTTCTATACAGGCCTAAATAGGAAACATTTAAAGGGAAATTTAAACTTTCAATAAGTTATTAAACGGACTTAAATATACACCGTGTGACAAACTTCTAAATTCATCATTTTAACCTCAGTAACACTGAGGCTCAAGTTTTTACCTTAATGTCACCTAATAACTAAATCCTTTTGAGTGAAAAATATGTACTTAAGTACCTAGTTAGTGAAATACAACTGAACCACAAATCCAAAATTCTACATGAAGAGATACACACAGTGATGCTCAGTGACGTGTGGAAGATGTATCTGATGAAGCACGGAAAACGTTTTATTATTTTACCATGCACTTTTAAGAGAAGAGTGTATTTTTTCTGATGATTACTTTCCTAGCACTTTATTACAGCATGTATCAGAATGTCTTCTGGAAAAAGACTCAATGACAAAAAATTATCTTCTGAATCGAATATATTAGCTGTTAATTAGTATAAACAATAGTTGGGATCAATCTGTAAAATGTGTGATCCTCAGAATAGCATAATGTATAGATGTCAAATCACTATGTTGTATGCCTGAAACTAACATTATGTGTCAACTATATACCAACTTTTTTATTGTCATTATGTAAAAATATGTTAAAAATAACCTTGAAGCAGATTTTAAATATAAATATATTGCAATTTCTAATAAATACTACCCAAAGCAATGCTATCCAATAGAACTTTCTGTGATCATAGAAATGTTCTACATTTCTATGCTGACAGGATAGCTAGTCACAGACTAATTGTGGCTATTTTTCCCTCAGCTTTATTAAGATATTATCGATATATAACATGTAAGTTTGAAGTGTCTGCAGCAATGATTAGGTTATATATATGCAGCTATTAAGCACGTGAAAGTGGTGGAGAAAGTGAAATTTTATTTCATTTTAATTAATTTAAACTTAAAATAGCTACTAAATAGTAGGAAGCTACCTGGACTACACAGACCCAAATTATATTCCCTGAGCCTAGGAAGAATTAAACATTCATTCATTCATTTATGGGAGAGAGAGTACAAGCAAGGGAGGGGCACAAAGAAAGGGAGACACAGCATCTAAAGCAGGCTCCAGGCTCCGAGCTGTCAGCTCAAAGCCCAACACAGGGCTTGAACCCATGAAGGCAGGATCATGACCTGTGCCGAAGTCGGACACCTAACCTACTGAGCCATCCAGGCGTCCCTAAACACACCCAAATCTAGAGTTTAACAACAAACACTAAAGCAACTACTTAGATCTTAATCCTTGAATAGTTTTATCCTTCTACATAATTAAAAAAAAAAAAAACCCTCACCCCAAATACAACTAGTACCATTAATTTTGTTTGCTGCTAGGTACTGAAATAATTACATTTAGTACACTGACAATGTTTTAAGCCAAACACTTCTAAAGAAAACATATTTCAATGGTATGCTATCAAAGTGTCATACAGAGTTCTGAGCTGGATCAACTAATACAAGCCCATTTAGTATAGCCTGATAGAGCTGTCATACCTGAAATATCATTCCATCAAGTAACTGCCCTTCTAGCTTCAGTAAAAACTTTTCAAACGGCTTTAGCTTTTCTTCCTGAATTCCAAATTTTGAAGGATTGTGATGGACAGATTTCAGTAACCTTGTGGAAGATTAGGAGAAAGACCTTCAATTTTACTAATAATTCTTCAATTGAAAAATTTCCAAGAAATCAAAATTTTACATTTGTACTGATTGCTTGTTTGGCTCTACACATTTGAAAACCTGAACAAAACCAATGCTAATATATTTAATTTTCTAATCATGCCTTTTTTATATCATCCTAAATTCAGGTGTCTGGTACTCTCTAGATACCAGATGAACTAAATAAAATCCCTGGACTTAAAGAAGTCTTAAGAATATACAATGAAATAAAACCAAGTTCAGGAAAACAACTGTTACTTGAACAGAACCCAAGAAAAAAAGAACTCTGAGTTCTAAGGTAGTCAAATTAACATTCTAATATACTTTAAGTATTAGGATGCTTTATATAAGTATACCATACTCTCAAACAAGCCTATCTGAAATTTAAAAATGGTTACTGTATGTCAGAATGGCTAACATTAACAACTCAGGCAACAACAGATGTCGGCGAGGATGTGGAGAAAGAGGATCTCTTTTGCATTGTTGGTGGGAATGCAAGCTGGTGCAACCACTCTGGAAAATAGTATGGAGGTTTCTCAAAAAAAATTAAAAACAGAACTACCCTACGACCAGCAACTGCACTACTAGATATCTATCCAAAGGATACAGGTATGCAGTTTCAAAGGAGCACATGCACCCCAATGTTTATAGCAGCACTATCAACAATAGCCAAAGTCTGGAAAGAGCCCAAATGTCCTTCCACAGATGAATGTATAAAGATGTGGATAAAGCAGATGTGTATATATACGTACATATATACATATATATATGTGTACACGTACATATACACGTATATATATATGTGTGTGTATATATATGTGTGTGTGTATATATGTATACACACACACACACACACACACACACACACACAGAGTATTACTCAGCAATCAAAAAGAATGAAATCTTGCCATTTGCAACTACATGGATGGAACTAGAGAGTATTATGCTAAGCAAAATTAGTCAGAGAAAGACAAATAGCATATGACTTCACTCATATGAGGGCTTTAAGAGACAAAACAGATGAACATAAGGGAAGGGAAACAAAAATAATATAAAAACAGGGGAGACAAAACAGAAGAGACTCATAAATATGGAGAACAAACAAACAAACTGAGGGTTACTGGAGGGGTTATGGGAGGGGGGATGGGCTAAACGGGTAAGGGGAATTAAGGAATCTACTCCTGAAATCATTGTTGCACCATATGCTAACTTGGATGTAAATTAAAAAGTAAATAAATTATTAATTAAAAAAATGGTTACTGTATTCATAGAAACATGTGACAGGAGATCCTTCTAAATATAGGTCTCCAGGTCTTTTAAAAGAGCTGCATCATTTACATTTGTTTCTTTTTTACTAACACGTTAACTATATAAAGAGAACATTTCAAACATTTAATTGGCTCACCTTTTGTACATAGTCCAGTGCTCTTTCAATGTGACATGATTATCAATAATTTCATCCAAGGTAAGCAAAACTGTTAGCAGCTCTCCCAAGTGCTCATACATAGTCTGTCAAAAAACCTTTAATGATTACCATTTAATCACTAGTTAGAAGTTAAGCTTCCTATGGATTTTTAAAGTTAAACACACTGGGCGAATTACTAAATTAAAGCAGTGGGTAAATCAGTTTATTAACGTACAGATGAAACTATTAATCCTCAGATGGAACAGTAAACCTTAGAGAAATGCTTTGCCCACTATTTCACCCTTAACTGGGATATTGCGGAATTATTTCACTCTCCAAAGAGACCACTTAGAGAATTTGCATTGGGCCACTACTGGGAAAAACTAAGAATTATACTGCTAGTGGGTCAATAATGCCTCATCAACTTCACAAATTAAAAAGCAAAAAAAATTTTTTTTTCTGAAGAGTCTTGCTATAATTGTTGTACTCCCCCATCACACAAACTCCACAGTAAAATATAGTAAAAATTACAGTTTTACAGATCAAGTTAAATGACTTTTACCTGAAAATGAACTCCAGTTGTCTCTATAATTTTGGGTGCAATCCTGTAATAAAATAGCATCCAATTAAAAAAAAAAAACTTTTTTGTTTTTAAGAAAAACACATAGAAGAAGCTCTTGGACTTTTAACATGTATTTAGCTTTATTTCAGCTATAGTCACTATAACTTATGGGGCCACACTCCACTTTTCTAAGAAAACGAACATGTATACAGAGTCAGGGTTATCCTTGTCTATACCTGAACTCAACGGGTAGGGAAATGACCATATGTGACCCATGAATAACCCTAGCCTTTAAACCTGAAGGATCGGGGCGCCTGGGTGGCGCAGTCGGTTAAGCGTCCGACTTCAGCCAGGTCACGATCTCGCGGTCCGTGAGTTCGAGCCCCGCATCAGGCTCTGAGCTGATGGCTCGGAGCCTGGAGCCTGTTTCCGATTCTGTGTCTCCCTCTCTCTCTGCCCCTCCCCCGTTCATGCTCTGTCTCTCTCTGTCCCAAAAATAAAAATAAACGTTGAAAAAAAAAAAAAAATTAAACCTGAAGGATCAAGTTTGGGATGGAGGTGGAGAAATAGTGAAACTGATATTCATTTGTTTCTAAACTATTAGAATTTTTCAATTCCCAACCAGAATCTTCGTTATCTTCCAAACTGGCATTTGGAAACTAGTCAGGTTTACTTCTGAGTTCTCATTCCTACTGAAAAACAATGCATACAAACAACATGCCAAAGTCAAAAGCCCCAGGATAATTCAAATTTTACTTCCTAGACATCTCCTACTCAACAGTAAATAATTTAAGACAGTATTTATACATCAAAGCACATATAGATATTCCACAGGATAGAATATTTTAAAAATTAAATACAGACTACAAATAAATTTCATCTCTTTTGGACAGGGGCATGGTGGTGGGGAGTTCTCTTTGAATTACACATCAGATACTGCAGATGTGTAGTCATGCTCTCATGCTCTCATTCCCCCCTGCCCTGAGGACAGCTTCAGTGAAAGAACAGAACATAAACACCTAACTGCAGAGAAAAACATGAGAATGAGAAACAGTTAACACAGTCTTCCAGTTCATAGCAACAGTTAAGATGCATTCTGGTATACTAAGAACAACAATGAATGGACCTGGTGATCAAAAGAACAGCATCTAAACTGCTATGGAATCTTATAGAATTTCTCTGGGTCTCAGTTACTTCTCATAATTGAGAACCCTTTGTCATATACCTAAACAAAGTTCCTGTAAGATTATAATTAAATAGCAAATGGGAAAGTTTTTAAGTATAAAGAATTAATCAAATGTGAGATATTACTCTGTAGTACTAAGAACAGTAAGGGCTCTATGAAAATTTGATTATTCTTCTTGATTTAGAACAGTGGTTCTCAAACTTGCAAGATCAACTGAGTAAAACCAAAATCTTTTTCAGTGTAGATTCCCTGGCACCACTCCGCCAGATTCTGCAGTTGTAGAAACGTCCCATGTGATTCTAATAAGCCAGGAAACAATGTAAAGGAGAAATAATGGGAGAGAATTTGGTACGAGTTCTAATTCCATATTAGCCTTTTCTATATAATCAAATTTAAGTTTATTCTGTCAACATTCTTATTCAGAGAGATAACATCATTTACCATGGTAGAAATTCTTATTAACCTATGTATTATACACATCAAGTACTGTTCGAAACATCATGCATCTTCAAAAGATGCTGAATAAATGAATGAGAGAATAAGTAAACAAATGAAAAATTATTTCGGGTAACTGGCTAGTTTTAGAAAAACATTCCCTGCATCTCTATTATAAATGCACAAATATTTACAAAATCCATTACTTGTTACTGATATAGAGGGCAGCCAACTGATGGACTACATTCATCACCACTTCATAGCACCTCGTCACAAAACAAGATAGTTCCTGAAATGACAAGTTGAGTATATGTTACATAGTTGCTTTTTAAATGTCACCATTTCTCTCTTTTATGGTAACAATGGTAAACAAAAACAAAACAGTTTTCCAGTAAAATTTCCAGTTAACCTGCAGACAGACAATTCCAAACATCCTTCAAGTAAGCAGTCCTTAACCCTTCTCCTGCCTCCCAAAGTCATTTCTACTGCTTTGCCCCCACAGCATTTCATTCATACTTTTATTCTAAATATTATACTTTAGTTACTCATGTAATTCTTAAATGACAGAGACTATCTTATTCCTTAAGTATCCACTGTCCAGCATGGTGACTAACTCTCATGTGCTTCTCAATAAAGTTCTGTCCCGTGAAGTGAATAAAAAAATGAACACCTGAACGAAGAAGCTCAAGAGCTGGCAATTTAGGAAGTAGGACAATGAGGGAAAGGCTCTCCAGAAGTCACTCTGAAATAACTTCAAATGCTTATGACCCTTAACCTCACCTATAAACAGATTCGGTACACAGAAAGGGAAATACTACTGACTGCAGGCATGTGTTTGTCATGAAAAAATTAATTTGCATCTACCACGTCCCATACCTTCTGAAAATTTCTTTTCAGAAGCTCTCGACGCTTAAACCTAAAAAAACAACTGGTATGCAAAAGTATTTAAAGCCTGATTAAATCTGTGGCTAAATTTTAAGTTCTACAAAGGCAGGAATTTCTGTTGGTTTTGTGCAATGCTGTATCCCCAGCACCAAGAACAGTTCCTAACATATGCTAGGGCTTATGAAAACACTTGTTGAAGGTTTAAAATTTTAATTTTATGCAGCTGTCAATGAGATCCAAAAACAATTTTAAATGTTTGAAAACAAAAATAAATAATGCATTTCAATTTTACTTAAATAGCTCTAGTTTTAGGGACGCCTATGTGGCTCAGTTAAGCGTCCAACATTGGCTCAGGTCATGATCTCATGGTTCATGAGTTTGAGCCACGTGTCGGTCTCTGTGCTGACAGCTCAGAGCCTGGAGCCTGCTTCACATTCTGTGTCTCCCTCTCTGCCCCTCCCCCACTTGCACTCTGTATCTCTCTCTCTCTCTCTCTCTCTCAAAAATAAACATTAAAAAAAATTTTTTTTAAATAACTCTAGTTTTACCTTTCTTATTAAACTTCTAAAAGTTCAATAAAAGCAAAGAACATAAAATTCAGACAAATAGCACAAAATAAAAAAGGAAGAAACAAGTCTATTTAAATAATAGACTATTTAAATAAAATAGAATTAGCCAATTAAAAGACAGAGATCTTCAGATTTTCAGATCACGTAATAAAGCAAAATCCAGATACATGTGACTTTAAAGAATCACAACTTAAACATAACGATACTGAAAGGTTGAGAGAATATAAAAAAATAAATCAAGAAAATGTTAACTAAAACAGAGCTGGGACAGTGATAATATCAGACAAAATAGAGTTTGTTAGTATATCAGAGCTATAGTTTATAACACATACTTATACAATCATATATTACATATGTAATTATTATAGTTAACCAGGGTTACCACATAACAGATTCAACTTACAAAGAATGATTAACAATTTTAAACTTGTATGCACCATACAGAATATCCTGAAAATAACAAATGTGAAATTTGATAAAACTAGACAGAGAAACTGACACATTCACTGGGGACCCTGCAAATTACATTTCTTAGACTCCTGCCAGCAGGTTTCCCATTAGGTTCTGTCAACAGGTGGCACTAAAAGGACACTAGAGGGCAGGAAGAAGAAGGCGGGAAGAAAAGGACATTCTTTCTATTTCTTGCTTTTTCTTTTTTTAAGTTATTTATTTTGAAAGAGAGCATGAGAGAGAATCCCAAGTAGGCTCCATGCTGAGCCCAACAAGAGACTCAATCTCACCACAATGAGATCGTGACCTGAGCCAAAATCAAGAGCTGGATGCTTAACCAACTGAGCCATCCAGGCGCCCCTACTTCTTGCTGATTTTATCAATAAAACCCAGACAAGAGCAGTCCACCCCATCAACAGCAGTTTGCTCCAGCCTTCAGCTTCTTTCAGCACTACAGAACCAACCCCATGTTGCTGTCTCAGAGGTACCAGCCCACCAGGCAGCGCTGGTTCCTTCATAGATATGAGCACTAACTCCACAGGGCTCCTGCTCCAAACTCCCAGATTCTGGCAACCCCAACCCTTTCCCTTTTTTCCCTTGATGCAGAGGTGGTATCTGCTTTCTCTGGATGACCTATCTTCTTTTCACTTTTTTAAATGCACTTTCAAGTTACTCAACATACAGGGTAGTGCTGGCTTCAGGAGTAGAACCCATCATCTCTTACATATGACACCCTGTGCTCATTCCAACAAGTGCCCTCCTTAATGCCCATCACCCACTTAACTCCTCACCCCCAGCAACCCTGGATATGTTCTCCGTATTTAAGAGTCCCTTATGGTTTGCCTCCCTCTCTGTTTTTATCTTATTTTTCTTTCCCTTCCTCTATGTTCATCTGTTGTGTTTCTTAAATTCCACATGAGTGAAATCATATATCTGTCTTTCTTATTTTGCTTAGCATAATACACTCTAGTTCCATCCACATTGCTACAAATGGCAAGATGTCATTCTTTCTCACCTTTTCTTTCAGCCCTCCAACTTTTATTTATTTTTAATGTTTATTATTTTTGAGAGAGACAGAGACAGAGAGCAAGCAGGGGAGGGGCAGAGAGAGAGGGAGACACAGAATCCGAAGCAGGCTCCAGGCTCTGAGCTGTCAGCACAGAGCCCAATGCGGGGCTCGAACTCACAAACCACGAGATCATGACCTGAGCCGAAGTCAGACGCTCAACCGACTGAGACACCCAAGCACCCCAAAGTTTAAATTATTTTAAAAGGCATGGTGACAAATTGTCCACAAATGAAAATATGAAAGGAAGAAAGAAACAAACTTACTTTGATACCTGATTTCCATAAAATGCTATGAAAATCTTTCAGGAATTATGACCTCTTAACTATAATTCAATGCCAACTAAGTGTCTTACTCTCACAGTACACATTCTTAGCATTTGAACTCTTTTTTGAGTGTAATCTACCCAAACTTTAAGAAAAAAAGAACAAAACAGCAAAAAGTCAAAACTAGTTACCTGTAAAAATGAAATAAATCTTCCCATTTGAATTTGGCAATCACCTTCCACCATGCTGGAATCTGTAGCTTTAAAGGGCAACATAAAGAGTCATATTTCAATTTTTTAGTTTAAACTTAGTCAAGACCCAAAAAGAAAAATAAATACAACTTTTATTAGTATATCTTCTAAACTGCATACTATTGAAAACAGAATGTTTATATTGAAAAGAAAAATGAGACAATCATTAATGATTCAGTTAAAACAATCATCTGTTTCACTATTTAGTGAATTCAAGGAAAATCCTTATCTAGCCACGGTGCTTTGTAAGTTATAAAAATATCACAAATAGATTTTAGAGAATTTGCTGCTGCTTCATCACTCAGGCTTTTTCCATCTGCTTATGAAAACAAATAAACCAACAAAAAATCTGAATATTTTTCTCACATTAATACATCATATAATCATGGTAGTCCTAGAATTGTCAACTTTTTGTTCATTTCAATGTCAAAAAGGCATTATGATGTAAAATTTTAAAACTTACCTCCTTCTCCATAAAACAAGAGACCATTATAAAATTTAGTTTCAGCCTGTTTAAAAAAAAATAAAATAATTTTAAAGGTTGCTATTTTGTTTTTAAATTCCTAGGCTCTCTTAGTTATCCATATTTAATAATAATCAGAGGACTACATCACATACAAATTCACTTAAATTCAAAAACTGCTTACAAAACAGGTAAATTCAATTTATCTTTAGACTACCAAAGATATCATTAATACTCAGTTATCTCTTAATTTCTTTACCCTTGCCTTTGTCTTTTCTAACCATTCTAATTGTCCCACATCCTCCCACTAGTTCATGAGAAGAGAAAGCAACCGCATGGTATCAAAAGGGTACAGAAAAAAAGAAGAAGTTTACCAATTCTACCAGAGTTTTAATGACCCATGGGTAAGGTAATACAAAGCATATTAAAAATCCAAAGCTTTTTTTTTTTTTTTTAAATCAGTTATATCTTGGGATGCCTGGCTGGATCAGTCAATAGAGCATGCAACTCTTAATCCAGGGTGGTGACTTCAAGCCCCATGCTGGGCATGGAGCTCACTTTAAAAAAAAAAAAAAAAGGCTAAAAAGTCAATTATATCTAGAAAGCTAGTATATGTGGCAGATAACACAGACTCTGAAGGTATGCAGACCCAGACTCAAACAGTTACCACTAGTAAAATGTTAGGCAAGTGACATCCTCTTTAAGCTCATCTGTTTCCTCATCTATTCCTCATACTATCTGCCTTTCATTCTACGTATGAACAGGATTCCTATGGTGTCTGGTACACAGAAAGCACACTCAGTGAATGGTAATCACTATTAGTATTACTTTAAATAAACAATTCAACATGCAATAAATCTGTATATACACTGTATATGTAAGCACATATTTGCTTTTATATCATGTTTTTAACATCTTAAGAGTACAAATAATTACCTCATACTTTAATTTCTTGATTTCACAACAAAGTGCAGCATAAACAGTAATGACTTTGTTCAAGACCTAGTTTCATGTGTAAAAACATAAAAAATATAAGTTATAGCAGATAACTAAAGCATTTCAAAAAAATAAGATTTTTAGGTTTAGAAATCTGTACCTTGTTTTCAGTCTTTATGAGTTCCAAAAGGGAAGACTGTTCATAAGGCAAAAGCTATAGTAACAGAGGGAAAGAACATTTCTTTTTAATTTGAAAAAAATAATTGAAATTTTGAATACACAAATTGAGTCTAGCCCTATCTATTCTATTCAAA